AGCATTATGGCATTGGCAATGCCTTTGTGACCAATTATGGCACCTTTTCCTTTCAAAATATATTTGTTTTTCCCTCGGCAGGTGGAATGGCAGAAGGGCCGCGGCAGAAACAACCCATCAGGTATGACAACCTTTCTTGATGTGCAATGAAAGTTGGGGGTTTAAATTAGCTAGGCTGATAGCACTTGAGCGTTGAGAAGAAAAAAATTTTGTTTCCAGCTTCAAGTTTCAACCCTTTGATGAGATGCTTGAAATTCATGCTATAAAACTGTGTCAGAAACTAATGCAGAAGCCAAAATGCAAGGGGGAGAGGACAGTCATTATAGGCTGACAAAATTCCTGATAAGGCTTGAAGCCCCACTATGAGAAACTTTGAGAGGCATGTGTGTTTTGTAGGTTAGAAGCTTGCCAAAAAAACCATTAATTACTAACGTTGACTGTTGCTTGGCGAAGATGATAGGAATGGGGAAGTGGGAACCAAGCAGCACATGTTAGCTTCAGGTTTTTCCTTGATCCCATGCTTTACCCAAAAATATGCATGCAACCAACAGTATGTGGTAGCCCTGGACTCCCTTTTCTTTTTGCAAGAACGATAAAAGTTGGGAAAATGCACCAAACCCCATTGCCTGTGACTTTAACTTTATGTGTGGAAAATGCATCAAAAGATTGATTGAATTGCACGTGTTAGAGAAGCTAATATGATTACCAACTGAAAAAAAAAGACAAAAGAAATATTTAATCATCAATCTAACTCATAATTGCTTAGGATATAAGAAAAGAAAAAGAGTTTGGCATGAGAACTCATATCTTCTTTTACATTATTGAGAAGATTGCATAACTATTTTCCCCTAGTACGGTAAATTTCATGAGAAAAGAACAGAACCCAATTCACATTGAGCCCAACGGATCCAGAAACTAAAACTATTGGGTCCAGTAGCCATAAATGGAGTATTTGGATCCAATTGAGCCTTTGCCCCAAAACAAGAGCGAAGCTGTCTTGAGTTCTGAATGTCACTCAACAGTTGGTTCTTTCTTCAACCCCGATATTATCTTTTCGAGAACTTTTAACTTTTGGTTTATCTTTATGAAAATTTAGTCACTCAGCATATCGCCACCCGGAGCCTTGGTAGATGCTGCTTAATCTCAGCATAGCTGCGTTTTCTTTGAGGCAGCCAACTGGCCAAAGTTGAGAGCTTTAGTTTCATGACTATGTGGAGTGCTCATATGGGTGTCTTTAGTTTTGAAAAGAATGGAATTTGCACTTCAGTTTCTAGCCAGAAACCATTTCCTCCAATTGGGTTCTTGAATTGTTGGAGACCAGCTTGTGGGGTTGCCTTATGGTCGAAGAATTCAAGCAAGAAGAAATGGAGGTTTGCTTTAAGAGTGGTTGATTCCGGTGGAGGGATTCTTGAGAAAGAGCTCGATTTTAAGCCGTCTTTTGATGAGTATTTGAAGACTATGGAGTCTTTGAGGGAGAAGGAGCAATCTTTTAAATCAAATAGAGGCAATTCCAGTGAAAAATCACATAGAGGCAAGTCAAAGGATGATTCGAGGAGAAAATTTGGGGAGGAAGAAAAGATGTCCAAGCTTGTCGAACACAATGAAGTAAGAATGAAGAGTAAAGAAGCTACTAGAACTAAAAGCAGAAAGGCATTGCTTGTGAAAGGCGAAGATGATGATTTGAAGGCGGAAGGAAATGAATACAAGAATTTTGAAGGATCGAATGATGTTGTGGATAAGCCACAAGTTTCACGAATTAAAATGGAAGGGAGAATAACAAAATTAGCAAACTTGTACGTGCTCTATGCCCTGTTTCTTCTTCTTCTTCTGCTAGTCTTTTTATTCTAATTTAAATAATATTTGTGTTCCAATAACAATATTGTTTATATGGATAGACGCAAATATGATTCAAAATCAAAAAGTGATGAAGAAGATGTGAGGTTGATGAAGTTTGGGGAGTTTTCTGAGGAAGTAAAGATGTCCAAAATCGTTAAATGGAATGGAGTAAACACGATGAATGAAGGAGTAAGAAGAACTAGAAGTAGAAAGGCATTTCTTGAAGAAGATGAAGATGATGATTTGAGGATGGAAAGGGCTGCCTTCAAGAACTTTGAAGAGTCCAATGATGTTTTTGATAAGCCAAGAGCTTCAAAGATGGAAATGGAGGAGAGAGTTCAAAGATTAGCAAAGTCGTATGTACCCTATGGACCTCTTTCTTCTTTTCTGCAAGTTTCCTTCCTTATGTTTGCAATTTGGTGATGTTATTTATATGAAGTGATGATCAATCTTTTATAATGATAACAAGGTGTAAGCTATATTCTTTGCTTTTGCCTATCAAAATTTTGAACATTTCCAATTTGCTTTTTTTTTTTTAACTTTTTTTTCATTTATTCTCTCTGGTTTACGAATTACTGTAGCATATGGTTATTTGAATTGATCAAAGGATTAAATGGAGTAAGATAAGTTTTAGACAAGGGAGAGCTATTAAGATTTGTTTCAATTGTGTGAAGACAGTTTTGGATTTATAAGTTTTTCTTTTTATAGGAGAAAATGAAACTTGTGAGTTGATAGCTGAAGTTAAATCATGCCAAAGAAATTTCATTTTGCCTTAAGTGATTATTGCTAAAATCTTGATTGTTAACATTTTTGTTGTGCCTAGGATCCATCTTAGTGAATGTCATTTGTCATGGATTGTATCCATTTTTTTTTTCTGTTAACTACCGGTTTCTATATTTGTAGTTCAGTCAGGTTTTATAATGGTCTTATTCATCTTAAAGTAGTTTGTTTTAACAGGTTGAATGGTGCAGACATTGATATGCCTGAGTGGATGTTTTCTAAGATGATGCGGAGTGCAAAAATTAAATTTACAGATTATTGTATATTAAGGGTGATCCAGGCATTGGGTAAACTAGGGAACTGGAGGCGGGTACTCCAAGTCATTGAGTGGCTTCAAATGCGTGAGCGCTTCAAATCTTACAGGCTCAGGTATTTTCCTTCCCCCAGCCCCATTAGTTTCTAATTTTGTACAAATTTGAATCAATAACGTTTGCAAAAGTTCTTAGTAATATTTATTTAGAAATGAGAGTGCTACCTGTTTATTCTTCCCCTTTTAATTTTTACAAATTGTGCGTGGTGTATATATCTTTTAACTAGGTAAAACTTTATGATGCAGACATATTTACACAACTGCACTTGATGTACTTGGGAAAGCAAGGAGACCTGTGGAAGCTCTTAACATATTTCAATCAATGCAGGTAATACACTTCAATTCCCATCTATATGGCTCATGAAATGCAGGTAATACACTTCAATTCAATGCGGGTTTATTTGGCTCTACCTTTTTTTTTCTCCCAATTTCCTGCAGCAACAAATGGCTTCATATCCTGACATAGTCGCTTATCATTCCATTGCTGTCACTCTTGGGCAAGCTGGGCATATGAGGGAACTCTTTCATGTTATTGACATCATGCGATCTCCTCCCAAGAAGAAATTCAAGACAGGGCTAATTGGAAAGTGGGACCCGAGATTAGAGCCTGATATTGTGGTTTACAATGCGGTCAGTAATAAGTATTAGTATACCTAAATACTATCATCTTCAGAAACCAATTAGTCATCTTTGGTTTGATTTTATGCAGCATTATAGGTGCATATAAAGAATGTTTATATTTTTCTTGTGTATGCAGGTCCTAAATGCATGTGCTCGGCGGAAACAGTGGGAGGGGGCATTTTGGGTTTTGCAGCAGTTAAAGCAACAACATTTACAGCCTTCCCCTACGACTTATGGACTTGTAATGGAGGTGATTAAAATTACAAAACTTATTTTAATTATAGGTTCAGGTTTTTGTATTAACTTTTTAATTATAAAATGATAATAATTATTGCAACATTTTGGATGATTGTGTACATTTCTTAAATTGCCAGTGGAAGTGCCTTCAACATTTTGAAGTTTCTTGAAGATAACATCAAATGACATCAAACTAGTTTTGTTTTAAGAACTCTTACTAGCAAGCAAAAATATTGTTTTAAGGAGTAGCAGTGTTTTGTTGCAGGAATGAGTTTCTAGCATGAGTTGTCATGGCTATATTCTCTAGGATCACAACATTATGACATTGAACTAGGAAATGATTTCTCTGCAGTTTGTCATATTATGTTGTTAAATGGATTCTCTTTGTGATAAAATAGTACAACTTTTTTTGTTTTGCGTAGGTGATGTTTGCATGTGGCAAATACAACTTGGTTCATGAGTTTTTCAGGAAAATTGAGAAATCTTCTATGCCAAATGCTTTGACATATAGAGGTATTTAATGTCATCTATTTTGTCATGGGTCTTTAAGAATGTTTTTTGGAAGTTGAATTTGCATTATTTTCAGTTCTTGTAAATACCCTTTGGAAGGAAGGTAAGATAGATGAAGCTGTATGGGCTGTTCAAGGTATGGAAAAAAGAGGAATTGTAGGTTCTGCTGCTCTTTATTATGACCTTGCTCGCTGTCTTTGTAGTTCTGGAAGGTGCCAGGAAGCACTGATGCAGGTATTTCTTTTTAATGCTTAATTTGTTTAGTACATTTATTTTATTTGTGCTTGTTACTATTTAAAGCAATTTCAGCTCAGGCCTTCTACATTTATTCTTGGAAAAGTTATTTATGAGTATTTAGGAGCTTGAAGAAATTTACAGTTGAATGAAAATGCATTAAACTATTAAGGTAATGTCTATCACTTAACCAAAACATTGGCTAACACGTTATTGCATTTTGTCTCTTACAGATTGAGAAAATATGCAAGGTTGCTAATAAACCTCTGGTGGTAACTTATACTGGTTTAATTCAAGCATGTCTAGACTCTGGAAATATTCAAAATGGGGCATACATCTTCAATGAAATGCAGAACTTTTGCTTTCCAAATCTTGTCACTTGCAACATCATGCTAAAAGCTTATCTGGATCATGGATTATTTGATCAAGCGAAAGATCTCTTCCAGAAGATGTTAGAAGATGCAAATCAAATCAGCAGTAAATCTGATTATTTGCACCGAGTGACACCTGATAGTTATACATTCAATATCATGTTAGATACATGTGTTCAACAGAAGAGGTGGGATGAGTTTGAGTGTGTCTATAGAAAGATGTTGCACCATGAATTTCACTTCAGTGCAAAACGTCATCTCCGCATGATACTGGATGCTGCCAGAGCTGGAAAGGTACTTACAAAATTTGTACATGATTAGAATGCTGCAAACAACCTTGCTTTTATTTTTGGCCAAGGGTTATTGAGACCTGTTAACATTTGCAGGGGGAACTAATTGAAACAACTTGGGAGCACATGGCAAGGGCTGATAGGACCCCTCCTCTGCCTCTGATCCAAGAAAGATTTTGCATGAAGTTGGAGAAAAATGACTACATTTCTGCTCTTTCATGTATTACCATCCATCCTTTGAGTGAGTTACAGGCATTTTCCAAGTCAGCATGGTCTAACTTGTTCAAGGACAACGCCTCTCGTTTCCGGAAGGATGCTATTGTAGGATTAGTTGACGAGGTGGAGAACATTCTTGGCAGAAGTGATTCACCAAACCCAGTTCTTCCCAACCTACTAACATCTTGTAAAGAATTTTTGAGGACTCATTTGACATCTGCTGATGCCAATCTAACAAAAACTGTTTGTACAGTCGAATCTACTAAACCTTTCTAAATCTCCATGAAATGTACCTTTTTATATAAAATTGATCTTGTCCAGCGTGGCATGTAGATGTCAATTTTTACAGCACTTGGATCATGACTGAAGAAAGGAATCTATCTGCAAGACATACCAGCAAGGAAAGATTGAATTACTGTTGTGATAAGTGTTCACTGGCTATCTGCATAAGTTACGTTCTTGCATTATTAATGGCATCTAATGAAAAGACTACTCGAACTCATTGCTTCTTTGTTTTCAGAATACACATTCAAGTCCACAATTTCTGGCAGGGTGACGTTGTGTCATCGGATTGAGATTTAAACATCAATGTCGACTCATGTTCTTGTTCTTATAATGATTTGAAACAATATACTATATCTTTTATTAGAAATTATTTGTTGAATGTCTCCAAACTCTATGAGAACAGAGATTGTCAACCTTTGCCCCTTTTGGTAAAGGATCTGCCGCCTTGTCCTCAATATAGAAGTACTCTTTCCCCACCTTTTTCTTATTTATCTGTTTTTTATAATATTTTTAGATATTTAATGTTTTTATTTTTTTATTATAAATTTTTTTACTTTTTCATATTATTATAAAGCTTTAAATATCAATTATATTATAACTTTTTTCAATTTAAATATAAAATATATCAAGATTAAGGACTTTTATACTAATTTTCATGAAGAATTAAGGCATGAAAATGATCAAATATACATTGTCAAACATGAGAAGAAAGAATTTTCTACAAGTAATCTTCAAACTTCTTTCAAAAGGAAATGAAAAGGGGACCTCACCAAGGAGGAGATACATAGTATTAAAAAGAAAAAGAAATAATAATTTGTAGATCCTCCGCGCACCGGAAACTAATAAACCTGTCTGTCTATATATACTTGAAATCGCATCTGACAAAACCGCTAAAACTCTCTGCTCTTTCATCCAAGTGTGTGTTCGTTACTTCTCTCTTCTTCTCCACAGAATCTCTGTTCCAATATCAGACAAGAGACAAAGCTTCGATTTTCGAAACGACCCATCCTTCTAATTTGTCTTCTGCTTCTTGTTTTCTGTGTCCCTTCATTAAAAGCTTCATTTTTCCTTTTTGGGTTGGAGAGTTGCAGATTGAGTGATCAAGGGGCGATGGGCAATTGGAGAAATCGACCGCACCGAAGGTTTTACCGTCAGGATAGAGCTCCTAAATACCCTTCTTCTTATCATGACCCTGAACCGTCTTTTTCTGGTACTCCTATTTCTTTTACATACGTCTAACTGTACCGTTTTATGATTCTATGCACATTGTGTTTTCAATCTTTTTCTGTGAATTTGGTTTTCTATAGTCGTTGCTTGTACTTGAATTCTCTCTTTTTTGCATTAAATTGTGATTTTTTTTTTTGCATAATTTTGTTGATTGAATATATTCCAGAACAAGTCGAAAGTATTAAAACTTGTATGTGTTTGGTATTTGAAGATGGTACACAATTGAGACAGCATCGAATCGGGGTCATGCTTTAAGAGAAGGAAAGACTGATTCACAGAAAGGGAGGACTGTAGATGGAAAAGAAATTAACTTTCTTTGTTTGACAATTAGGTGTATATTTGGCATATTTCATAGAATTATAAATTGGTTTTGGAATGCATGAAAGGTATTACAAGTTTAAACTTGTATGATTTACATGTTATTCCTAATTTATTAGTAATTGCTAGTTTGATTTTAACTTAAAATTTTGTTGCATGGCTTTAGCCGCCGGACTGTTCTCATTTTTTCCTGTTAATGGCTATATTTACCAATCAAATATTGCACATGGCATTTACTATTCTCATTACTGTCTATATTCTGTTTTGCAATGTGTGTGATTCTTTTCTACTTGTATTTTTCTTCTCTTAGAGTTTTGGAATGATGGTGTGCCTTTGTGGGAGAAGAAATTCTGCACTTTAGTTGGATTGGTATCATGGCGGAAGATTGTTGATGCCAAGAAGTTCATGTGCTACAATGATAATGTGCTCAATTGGGATGACTCAGCTGGAGAAGAAGCATTTCAAAATGCAAAAAAGCGCTATTGGGCAGAGATTAATGGCCTCTCCTGTGACATTCCTACTCCTGATCCAGATGCTTTTATTGATCGCATAAATTGGAATCCTCATATTGATCCTGAATTGATTACGGATTTAGAACAAGAATACTTTGCTCCCAAAGACAAAGATGGCAAGGTAGTACTTGAAAACAAAACTGTGACGAACCTTTCATCTGCTCCTTCAAAAGGGTGTAATACAAACCCTTGTAAGGTTGAGAATCCTTGGGAATGCAACAATGATATTCAGGGTAATAGTGGTCTTAAGGATCTCGAAGGCTGGGGCCAGCCGGTTTGTAAAGTTGATGGTTCTAGGAATTTAAATAGTAATGGAAACAATCCCTGGGAGAATAGCAATACTCTGGGAAATGAAAGTGGAAAGTACAACTCATGGGGAGATTGTGGGTCAAGGGATTGGAATACTGGCAACAATTCATGGGGCCATAGCTGTCAAGGCGTTGGCTCTAGGAAGGATGATGGATGGGAAGAATTCAAGCGGAAGTCTTGGGGAAGGAACCAGCGGGAATATAAGAAGTTGCCTAACGGGGATAATTCATGGGACCGTAGCTTTCTTGAACAAAATGAAGCTCCTAATAATCAGGGGTGGGGAGATTGTGGGAGAAATTCATGGGGTTGGAAACAGTGGGAGAATAAGAATATTAGGTCAAGAAAGTTGGACTTCAGAAAAACTAGCAGCAGTGGCAGAGCGTGGCATGGTGGTTCCCGGAAGAGGGAAGGTTCTCATCAGTATATATTGGGTTACAATAGCCACAGGTTCCAACGGGATGAGAATCAGACAAGTCATTGCTGGAGGAGTGGGAAACCTAACAAGAGGGTTAGCTTTGCACTTGAGTAGCCAATGTTGCTGACCAAATACAGCGTTCTGGATATTACCAGATTCTCTGTCCATCGAGCCATGAATACCTATTCACTTCATTTATGGTTTCATGAGCAGGGATGATGGTGCCCTTCTGTGCAATTCATTCAACTGCAGAGCAGATAAGAGTGAACCTTCCCCTTGAGCTTAGGAAGAGCATGGGAGTTCATACATTTAGGCTTTGTTAAATATAGGCGTCTTTGTTTTGATACATGAGAAAAGATCTGCCTAGAGCGGTGCTATTTTTTCATTAATCTACTAGTTTATCCGTGATAAAGTGTTATGGTTCTCATTTAGCAAGGTTCCTGGTAAAATCATTATGCTTCTTGCATTCTTAATTGCTGAAATTGATTTTGAACTTTTACATAATTGCAGCTACCTAGTTTTGATTGGTCACTTTTTTAGAACCTCAGTAACACACCTGATTTCATGAAGTATTTACATTTTAGAAAAGAAAATTGCCCATATGTCTAAATAGCAACATTGAATGATTGAAAGGAGTTTATGCAGTGCGTCTCTTTTTCCGCAGGAAGATTTTTACAGAGCTCTGATAGGAACGCCTGTCGAGCCTTTTAAAGAAACTTTCTAAATTTGCTTTTAATACAGCTGGTGGGGAGTGTTTTATGAACTCTGGTTTCAGTTCCTAACATCATTTCCAGGAAGTGGCAACTTCTTCAAAGTATGAACAAATGAAGTCCTGGCCGTGAGCGACAAATACCCGGAATTTATCGACAAGTTTCATCATAATAATAGTTGGGAATTGAAGTTTAAGGTTTAAATTCTTTTTCTCCCTTAATTTTACAACATTATAATATATAAATAAATATATATATATATATATTGAAATTTTCAGCCTCTTCTTAAAAAAAGAAAAAAAATCTTCACTTACAAATAAATTTATACTGATTTAGGGTCTTGAAAATATACCTCAACCAGCTTAGTCATTAAGCAAAAAATCAAATTACAAAACAGTGAGGTTTGGCTGCATGCTGATGACTTCTAGTAACTGGTACTTCAAAGCAAGCCTTAATTCAACACTATTGGCTTGGGGCATCGCTTGCACGGTGTTGACTCTTGACTGACGCACTTTGCCTTTTGTCCTAAAAGGAAACTTGATTACTAGATTTATTCAAACTTAAAATAAACGTTGGCTTGGAGATATCCCATCCGCAAGTCAAGTGCCTCGCCCTTTACATGTCCAATCAAAAGATGTTCGGTTTCAAAGTCCTCTTGCTCATTTTGCCCTGCCTTTGGATATCTGACGCCGCAACAGACACGTTGACCCAAGGTGATAAGCTCAACTCATCTGATTCTTTGGTTTCCCAAAATGGAGCCGTGACCTTAGGCTTCCGTTTATTACAGTATGGTGAGACTTGGGATGACAAAAGAGCCGGGTATTATTTGGCTATGTGGTTCAGTGAACTAGAGTCAAGCCCTCCCATCTGGTTGGCCAACCGAGATGACCCCATCGCAGATAACTCTGGGGTTCTCATCATAGACAACACCGGATTCAAAATTACACACGATGGTGGGGATCCTATCCAACTTTTCTCACTTCATTCTACCCCTACCACCACCAACAGCTCCAACATAAAGCTGGTCTTACAAGATTCTGGGAATCTTGTTCTGCAAGATGCAGACTCTAAGGGGGAAAACAGAATACTGTGGCAAAGCTTTGATTATCCAACTGATACTTTTCTGCCTGGGATGAAATTGGGGGTCAGCCATGGAAGAAGCTGGTCACTTACATCTTGGTTCACTGGATCAATCCCAGCTCCCGGATCGTTTACCCTGGAGTGGGATCCTGAAGGGGAACGGTTAATTGTTCGGCTCAAAGAGAGGGTTTTATGGACCAGTGGTAACAGTTTTGAAAATATTCCCCCCTCGGAACCACAGAACATGAACTATAATTTCAGTCATGTTTCTAATGTTGATGAACAATATCTTTATTACACGCTTCTAATGGATGACTCAACTCGTGAAGAGAAGAGGAAAAACGCAAGGTTGATATTGCTTTACGATGGGAGTTTGCAACTTGGAAGTGGGGAATTCATATTTAGCTCAAAATCCTGTGCTGGTGCGAGCACACAGAATGGTTGCGAGAGATGGAAAGGGCCGAAGTGCAGAAGCAATGGTGATCAGTACGAAATAAGATCCATCACACCTACAGATATGAATTCGGTAAATTATTCACTGTTGGGGAACACAGGGCTTTCCATATACGATTGTAAGGACATTTGTTGGAAAGATTGTCAATGTTTTGGAGTCAAAGAAGACAGGGTGCTTGGTTGCCAATTTCTTTCGGGGCCTTACGTTCAAGGTGCGTTGGATGGAACTTCATATCAAGTTATAATTCGTCACCGTTCAAGTAAGTTTAATCTTCGTCCATCCTTAATACTTCCCTTGTTGAACTCAATTCCTTCATTCTGGGTTCCATTTATATCATCTTTTGATTTTGTTAGATGGTACCGACAATCAAATACAACACTGTTCTTGTCGTACATTGATGCAGGGTTGAAAAATTGGATATGGATTTTAATCTCTATAGCGATGACTCTACTGATTACAGTACTGCTTGGCGTCCTGTTTTGTTTGAGAAGAAGACGACGAATTAGGATGGAAGGTAAAATTCAGCAAC